ACACCAGCAGTGCTTGTTACGCACGGAGCCTAATAGGCGTAAAAACGAGATCGCGAGAAGTTAAAAGCACAATGTAGAAGCGGACAGACAAAATTAGAAATACGTACGAGACTAATACTAATACTAATTTTGTGCTAAGTAAGATAAAATTAATGATTTTAGGCTTGGCAAAGAGTCGGTAGTAGAAATAATGTGGAATAGTCTATTATAGTCGTTACACAGTACTCTAAACGGTTCATGCATATCAAAGTTAGATCTACAAATATTTAATGTAAGAGGAACATAGTTCCTGGTAATTCTATTAGGCACGGAGAAGCTTAGTAACTCGGGACACTCCACATCCCCGTGAATAAGTTTATAGATAAAAGTTGTGCCAAGCATCGTTCTACGGTTTACTAAGGATGGTAGATTAATTAGGAGAAGTCTACTAGAGTAGGATGGTTAAATAAGGCTTGCATTCCAGTTAAGGCCCGGAAGAGCAAATAATAAAAAGTTCTTTTGCACAGACTCTATCCGGTCTATATGTACACCATACTGAGGACTCCAAACTGCAGAACAGTACTCCAGGATTGGACGGACTAGTTTCCCTTAATTAACTTTATTTAACCATCGTCAACAAGGAAAGCGCTTTCGTCGGTGGATGGACATAAGTGAGGTGAGTTTTTAAAAAGAAAATCCATATAAAATCCCATAAGAAAAGTCAAAAAATCAAATTCTAAAATTTTAACCTACAAGAAAAAAAACGAATATGGAGAAATAAAAAAACAAAAATTGTTAGGAAAAACAGCTAGGAACTTTAACAGAGTGTATACATATAAATACCAGGCCGTGTATATATGTGTATGTGTATTTACAGAGGTGCTTAGGTACTAGGTGAATATTTACAAAAATGCCTATTGCTACTAATATGTATAATGTGTGTATAAATACTAATAGGGTTGCTTAGGGCTGCTACAATATATATATATTTTATTTTATTTTTTTTATTTTTATTTTTGTTGAACACGCCTCAAAAGGATGGTTCTTAATTTCGTGTATTGACAAATTATTACTAAAGATCCCAAAAAAAGCGGGTAAGTCTTTTAATCTACTTTAATAACATCATTTAAATTCTAATAAAGGTGAACTAATTTGCTTAGTTAAATTAAAATAAATTAGTAAAGCTAAAGCAGATTATCAAGTGCATCCAGCACAGAGTTCATGTTCATTTGATGCAATGTCTTTCGACACAAAACCTGTGCATTGCCTCGCGATTTCTGCAGATCCGTATCCGTACTGCTTTTCGTTCATTCGACACCTTGCATCATGCTCGGGCAAAAGGAATGAGTACTTTTTGGTTTTTCACAACGTCAATGCAATGCTTTTGAACCACTGTATTTATTTGTGACATTTGTACACACATTCTAGTTAGCGGTTAGTTCGTCAAGGTTTTGCCGAATGAGGAGCTTCATCTCTCGGATTTTAGGACCAAGCAACAATTTTGGCCTTAATTGTCCTTGTTTTAGGATCGAACTTACTAACTTTTTCATATAGTAATATTTCCAGGAAACTAAATAACTGTTATGTAAAAAATTATTAATCAAAAGTCAAATGTTGCACCCAGCCATTTAATTTTATATTGAGTGTTAATATAAATTTAAACAATAACATGATTCGACAATCGAAACATAAGTTAAAACAAGAAAAGAAGCAAACTTCGGCAAGCCGAAGCTTAACATACGAGGGTGGTACGATAAGTACGATTTCTCGAGGTCTGCAAAATAGGCCTCTGTGGCGGCGACGACCTCCTCATTCGACGCAAATTTGTGTCCAGCGAGTGACTTTTTTAAGTTTGGAAACAAAAAGAAGTCACACGGGGCAATGTGTGGGGAATATGGTGGATGGGGTATCAGTTCGTAGCCCAATTCGACCAATTTGGCCATGGCGAGGGCGGAAGTGTGAGCCGGTGTGTTGTCATGATGGAAGAGCTCTTTTTTCTTCGCCAAAGAAAAATAATACCAAAAACGGTGGCCATCACCTTTCCGGCCGATGGGACAGTCTTCGCCTTCTTCGACTGTTCCTTGGTCTCTGGTGTGTACCAGTGGATCCATGTTTCGTCGACGGTCACGAAACGACGCAGAACCTCCTTCGGATTGCGCTTAAACATACACAAACACTACTCTGAAGTGGTCTCACGGTTGCGTTTTTTGTCCGGAGTGAGCAAACGCGGCACCCATCGCGCCGACAGCTTTCTCATGCCCAAAATTTCATGCAGGATATGACCCACGCGGTCTTTTGACATGCCTACTGTCTCAGCTATCTCGCGTATCTTTAATCGGCGGTCTGCCAATACGAGATCGTGGATTTTTGTCACGTTATGCTCCGTGGTAGCCGTTTTCGTGGCACCTGGGCGTGGCTTCAAAAACCGACGTGCAACCACGTTAAAACTCGTTAAACCAATTTTTGACGGTCGCCATCCAAGGAGAAGAGTCACCGTACACAGCATCCAAGCTCTCTTTTATTTTATTGCGCGATTTCCCTTCCAAAAACAAGAATCGAATCACAGACCGATATTGCTCTTTTTCCATTTTTCTAAAATCCGCGGACACGTCCGATTCAACACGCAGTCAAATAAAACTACGAGACCGATTCGGCTGAAATTTCGACAGTAGCCGTCTACGAGAATGTACTACACGATAGTAAATTTCTCTTGCGATAGTGACGCCATCGGGCGGTGAGGCTAAGCACTTATCGGACTGCCCTCGTAGTTATTACAAAACAAGAGAGAACGCTACCCGTTACTCAGGTAAAGGGAGTGCGAGAGATAGAGATAGAGACTTTGATCACGCATAACTTTTTAACGAATGGTCCGATTTGAAAAATTGCTTCTACATTTCGATAGGTATTGATAAACACAATAAAACTGCATTTAAATAAATTAATTTAAATTTTTAAAATCGTATATAAGCGATTGTGGGCGTTAAAGGGGGCGCGGCACCTTTTTGAAACAAACTTGCGCTGCGTAGGAACTCCTAGAATCTGCATGCAAAATGCCAATCTTCTAGCTTTTATAGTTTCCGAGATCTCAGCGTTCATACGGACGGACAGACAGACGGACAGACGGACATGGCTTTATCGACTCGGCTAGTGACCCTGATCAAGAATATATATACATTATAGGGTCGGAAACGCTTCCTTCTAGCTGTTACATACTTTTGCACGAATACAATATACCCTTTTACTCTACGAGTAACGGGTATAAGGACTACATTTCTATTTTTTATATTAGCAAAAACAACGCAGCTAAGTATGTCGATTGCGCTCCATTTTACCATCGCTTCTATGGCAGCTAAATGATATTATTGTCCGATTTTGACAAAACTAAAAGCGTAATTCTGATATAGTAAATATCATAAAGGAATATTTTGATAAATAGAATCACAATCAGATTGCAATTCCTTATCAAATGGGATGTTGTTCTCGGTTGACGGCAGCTCCAGAAGGCTTAATACTTCTTTGGGAATTGTTTTTTTTTTGTGTTTTTTTCGTTATCTTTCCTTTAAACACACACTAGATAGTAACGGATCCGAAGAATCGATCGCCCTGTGGAAAATGTCAGTGATTGTAATGATTCGACTATTTTTCCTTGCGTGTGAGAGTCTGACTTTTTTGTAGATTTTATTGCGGGCTTCTGAAATTTTCACCTAAGCATCCTAGTGGAACTAACGTCGAATTATTTATTTGAAAACCGTGGACTAGAACTTAGTGAATCGTTGGTGACATTGGGTACCACGGGTATTTATGCATATATAGGCGAAACGTTTTCTCACAAAAAGTTCGAAATTTTTCAGAGTTTATATAAAAGATTCATGAAATTGCTAGTAACATAATATGAAAATTATTTAAAAGGGTTGTGTCAAGACCGGTTATGAATAATAGTTGTTCACTATTTGCAACAGCTCTTCTTGCCGTATTACCGCCATTGCTGTTCCCGCTAACATTCTGCTTTGGCACGCTTACTCGAAGACCCATATCATTCCACATTTTTTCTTGAATATATTTTTTCCGTGCACTCATTTTAATCTTGTCATCACCTTTTACATTTTTATACCCGTTACTCGTAGAGTAAAAGGCTATATTGTATTCGTGCAAAAGTATGTAACCTTGCATCATGCTCGGGCAAAAGGAATGAGTACTTTTTGGTTTTTCACAACGTCAATGCAATGCTTTTGAACCACTGTATTTATTTGTGACATTTGTACACACATTCTAGTTAGCGGTTAGTTCGTCAAGGTTTTGCCGAATGAGGAGCTTCATCTCTCGGATTTTAGGACCAAGCAACAATTTTGGCCTTAATTGTCCTTGTTTTAGGATCGAACTTACTAACTTTTTCATATAGTAATATTTCCAGGAAACTAAATAACTGTTATGTAAAAAGTTATTAATCAAAAGTCAAATGTTGCACCCAGCCATTTAATTTTATATTGAGTGTTAATATAAATTTAAACAATAACATGATTCGACAATCGAAACATAAGTTAAAACAAGAAAAGAAGCAAACTTCGGCAAGCCGAAGCTTAACATACGAGGGTGGTACGATAAGTACGATTTCTCGAGGTCTGCAAAATAGGCCTCTGTGGCGGCGACGACCTCCTCATTCGACGCAAATTTGTGTCCAGCGAGTGACTTTTTTAAGTTTGGAAACAAAAAGAAGTCACACGGGGCAATGTGTGGGGAATATGGTGGATGGGGTATCAGTTCGTAGCCCAATTCGACCAATTTGGCCATGGCGAGGGCGGAAGTGTGAGCCGGTGTGTTGTCATGATGGAAGAGCACTTTTTTCTTCGCCAAAGAAAAATAATACCAAAAACGGTGGCTATCACCTTTCCGGCCGATGGGACAGTCTTCGCCTTCTTCGACTGTTCCTTGGTCTCTGGTGTGTACCAGTGGATCCATGTTTCGTCGACGGTCACGAAACGACGCAGAACCTCCTTCGGATTGCGCTTAAACATACACAAACACTACTCTGAAGTGGTCTCACGGTTGCGTTTTTTGTCCGGAGTGAGCAAACGCGGCACCCATCGCGCCGACAGCTTTCTCATGCCCAAAATTTCATGCAGGATATGACCCACGCGGTCTTTTGACATGCCTACTGTCTCAGCTATCTCGCGTATCTTTAATCGGCGGTCTGCCAATACGAGATCGTGGATTTTTGTCACGTTATGCTCCGTGGTAGCCGTTTTCGTGGCACCTGGGCGTGGCTTCAAAAACCGACGTGCAACCACGTTAAAACTCGTTAAACCAATTTTTGACGGTCGCCATCCAAGGAGAAGAGTCACCGTACACAGCATCCAAGCTCTCTTTTATTTTATTGCGCGATTTCCCTTCCAAAAACAAGAATCGAATCACAGACCGATATTGCTCTTTTTCCATTTTTCTAAAATCCGCGGACACGTCCGATTCAACACGCAGTCAAATAAAACTACGAGACCGATTCGGCTGAAATTTCGACAGTAGCCGTCTACGAGAATGTACTACACGATAGTAAATTTCTCTTGCGATAGTGACGCCATCGGGCGGTGAGGCTAAGCACTTATCGGACTGCCCTCGTAGTTATTACAAAACAAGAGAGAACGCTACCCGTTACTCAGGTAAAGGGAGTGCGAGGGAGATGGAGATAGAAACTTTGATCACGCATAACTTTTTAACGAATGGTCCGATTTGAAAAATTGCTTCTACATTTCGATAGGTATTGATAAACACAATAAAACTGCATTTAAATAAATTAATTTAAATTTTTAAAATCGTATATAAGCGATTGTGGGCGTTAAAGGGGGCGCGGCACCTTTTTGAAACAAACTTGCGCTGCGTAGGAACTCCTAGAATCTGCATGCAAAATGCCAATCTTCTAGCTTTTATAGTTTCCGAGATCTCAGCGTTCATACGGACGGACAGACAGACGGACAGACGGACATGGCTTTATCGACTCGGCTAGTGACCCTGATCAAGAATATATATACATTATAGGGTCGGAAACGCTTCCTTCTAGCTGTTACATACTTTTGCACGAATACAATATACCCTTTTACTCTACGAGTAACGGGTATAAGGACTACATTTCTATTTTTTATATTAGCAAAAACAACGCAGCTAAGTATGTCGATTGCGCTCCATTTTACCATCGCTTCTATGGCAGCTAAATGATATTATTGTCCGATTTTGACAAAACTAAAAGCGTAATTCTGATATAGTAAATATCATAAAGGAATATTTTGATAAATAGAATCACAATCAGATTGCAATTCCTTATCAAATGGGATGTTGTTCTCGGTTGACGGCAGCTCCAGAAGGCTTAATACTTCTTTGGGAATTGTTTTTTTTTTGTGTTTTTTTCGTTATCTTTCCTTTAAACACACACTAGATAGTAACGGATCCGAAGAATCGATCGCCCTGTGGAAAATGTCAGTGATTGTAATGATTCGACTATTTTTCCTTGCGTGTGAGAGTCTGACTTTTTGTAGATTTTATTGCGGGCTTCTGAAATTTTCACCTAAGCATCCTAGTGGAACTAACGTCGAATTATTTATTTGAAAACCGTGGACTAGAACTTAGTGAATCGTTGGTGACATTGGGTACCACGGGTATTTATGCATATATAGGCGAAACGTTTTCTCACAAAAAGTTCGAAATTTTTCAGAGTTTATATAAAAGATTCATGAAATTGCTAGTAACATAATATGAAAATTATTTAAAAGGGTTGTGTCAAGACCGGTTATGAATAATAGTTGTTCACTATTTGCAACAGCTCTTCTTGCCGTATTACCGCCATTGCTGTTCCCGCTAACATTCTGCTTTGGCACGCTTACTCGAAGACCCATATCATTCCACATTTTTTCTTGAATATATTTTTTCCGTGCACTCATTTTAATCTTGTCATCACCTTTTACATTTTTATACCCGTTACTCGTAGAGTAAAAGGCTATATTGTATTCGTGCAAAAGTATGTAACAGGTAGAAGGAAGCGTTTCAGGATCACTATCATAATATCGATTGGCCTAATAGTTGCCACGCCCACTCTAACGCCCAAAAACCCATTAAATGCTTAAGCCTGGCTAGCGCCTACATTTCCGCCTTTCATGGCGCCATCTAACGGATGACTTTGGAACAGCTGGCCAAGGTGCTCAACAGAGTCAACGTTAATTCTCGATAAGGATTTCTATTAGGGGAAATTGCGATGGTTTTCATTTGTCAATACCGAACTATATCCCAAGAACTATGCAAATCAAATCTAGTTAGCCAAATTAGAGGTCTAAGACAACCCTGCAGTTCCGAAATTCATCACTACAAAAATTCATCACTGTTTAATCAGCAGCGGACTGCGACGCCGGCAGAGCCAAAGGCAAAGTCGGCAGAGCCGAGTGCGACGCAGGCAGAGCCGAAACTCTCAGTCCCCGATCGTAGGCAACGCAGAAAAATTTCCATCTCCCTCTCTTACTCTGTCTCTCTCCCCATAAAATGAGCTGACAAAATGAAGTGGAGTGATGAATTACTGATTAAAGAGTGATGAAAAACTGACAAAAGAGTGATGAATTACTGATTAAAGAGTGATGAATTTTTCACTGATTAACTCCTAGGACATGCCAATGTTAAATTCATCACTAATTTGTATGAAGTTTCATCGCCGATTAATCAGCAGTGATGCATTTTTGGTGATGAAAAAGCGATTAAAAGGTGATGAACGGTACTGCAGGGAAACAATGGCGTATGTGTGTATGTATGTAAGCATAGACATATGTATGTATTTACATTGTACACAGTTGCAATTGCCCGGCAAAGATAACTCCTTTCAAAGAAAGCTATTCAATTTATTGCACTCTTTAATATACAATACTATTAAATGTATGTTTTTAAAAAATAAGAATTTTTTTTTTTAATTTTTAAAATTTTTTCTCAAAAAAAAACATAAACACAGCTGCTGGTGCAGGACAAAAGCTGCCTGCGCTAAAGCAGCGCTGGTGCTGATGCTCGTGCTGTAAAGCTGCAGCACTAGGAGATCGCCGAATTCAAATTGATAATTTGAACTTTTTGTCCTTTTTTCCTGTGGTCACTATAATTCACATTATGTTAAAAAAAAAAAAAAAAAACACAAGAAGGCATATTTATAATAAGTTGTTTAGCTGAGTAACGGGTATCTAATAGTCGAGGCACTCGACTATAGCGTTCTCTCTTGTTGTATTTCCATTTTGTATGATATTGTCAGGACAAATTCTAGAAGCCGAATCCAAGCATGTAGAGGACTTACCAAAAATTGTAAAGCTTCAAGCTTGGGCGTAAAGATTTTTGAATTGAAATCTTTTATTTTCATTACATTTGTTGGGGTAACACTACAAATTGGACAACATTGAGTTGATCTATTGTTAGTTAGTACATTTAGTATTTTTCCCTCAATGAGTGTCATATGCATTTCAAATGTAACTGTTATGTTATTAGCCTCATTCAGTGTATAATGAAACGGGCTTAGATTCCCTATTTGATAGTCTAACTGATCAGAAGTTTCTTTTACAAATTTAATTTTCAGCGGCCTGCAAAATCGGATGGATTGCGGTGTTCAGTTAACCCAGATATTTTGTTGAAATGAGTCAATCATTTTTATGGATGTAACAGAAGTTACAAACAAAGACTGATCTGAGACCTGAACGTCAGGTGTTTTTATTCCAAACTTCTGCTTGTATGCACTTTGTCCAACTGATCCATCAAAGCCATAACTGCAAATTAATTTGAGTACAGAACTATCCGGAGATGCTTGAAAATATCAATTATCGCTCTGCAGAATGATTTATTTTGCAGTGACACTTGAGCAGTAGTTTCTGTAACTTCTATACCCAACGGGCGACACTGCATTTTAGCTTGTATTACTTGATTGTAGCTCGGATAGATGTCACTGTGATGATTTATATTCAAAACCCTACTGTTAACATATTGCTGTTTGGTTAAAGAATTTTCCAGAATGTAGGCATTTGGTGTGAGTGGAGTCGGTTTTTGGATTTGAAGATGCTTTCTTAATTCTGTCGGGTATTCAGCAGGTGTGGTAATTTCTTTAAGGGCCAAGGCCACGTTTGTATTACGTTCTTGCTTGGCAGAAACTGCTGCAGCATGCAGAAGAAGAGTTGTGTTGTGCTCTTTTTCATTCGCAAGCTCAGATGTCAATTTCCTTTTCAATCGTGTTCCAGCGTTTGCATAAGACAAGGTACGGCGTCCCGGTTTTTGTGGTGTCTTATAGTTATCATTAATTTTAATTGATATTTTAGATGACATCCATTCATAATGCTTTGACTTCAATCGTTCGACCATATAGTTGCATTTTGCTGGTCTTTTTTTTATAAATGATTCGAATTTACTTGTTATACCCGTTACTCGTAGAGTAAAAGGGTATATTGTATTCGTGCAAAAGTATGTAACAGCTAGAAGGAAGCGTTTCCGACCCTATAAAGTATATATATCAGGGTCACTAGCCGAGTCGATATAGCCATGTCCGTCTGTCCGTCTGTCTGTCCGTCCGTATGAAATTTAAATATTTCGGAAAAGTAAAAATGCAGTTTTATTGTGTTTATCAATACCTATCGAAATGTAGAAGCAATTTTTCAAATCGGACCATTCGTTAAAAAGTTATGCGTGATCAAAGTTTCTATCTCCATCTCCCTCGCACTCCCTTTACCTGAGTAACGGGTATCTGATAGTCGGGGTACCCGACTATAGCGTTCTCTCTTGTTTTTTTATTGATTTCTAATTTTGTATCATCTTTGACGTGATAATGGCTAATTTTTTTATAAATGCAATCTGACACAAAAGATATTTTGCGATTATTGCTGAGCCAAATATCGAAGAAATTGCTATGGCAAAATTCGAACGTCGCTGAATATTGCGGAGTTGCGAGAAAAAGGGGACGAACGGGGAAAAGTTCTTAATTAGCGATAAAGAACGACATATATTAGTATAAACTGGCGTAATTAGTTTTTGTCAGCAGCCGTCAGGTCGTTAGTCTTATTCCACGAAACACAAGGGACCCATGTCAAATTGAACATTAAACAAAACACATAAACATACTATATTCATTAAAAAATACATTCCTTGATTTACAATTTTCATTACTATCAGTTTGTTTGGACAAAGAATATTTATTTTCACGCA